GACTGCGCCTCTTCAATCCCGTGCTCTTTTTTCTTCTCTGACCAGCTCAACCTGTTAGGAATCAAAGAATGCAGCTGCGATCCATAATCTTCAGGTACTTTTGCAACCTTTTTTTTCTTATTTATTCGTTTCCTGATATTTTGTCGTCTGAAATCTAAAGTAGGAAGCTCTTGCTTGATCTGGGCTGGATCGCACTCTCCATTCTTTATTCTTTGCTTAGAATCTCCGATCGTTACTTCTGATTGCGAGTTAAGGGTACTTTGCTACCGTCCCTGTTTTCGACTGCTGTGATTGATAGTACGCGATAGAAGTTTCCCAAGCGCTTTTTGCGAATTTTCCCATGTTTGTTTCCAGTTCCTGACGTTAAAATTGCGCGGAATGCGTCCTAATCGTTGTTGATTGAACTCATCTTTGGCTGTCTCCATTGGGATTGCCCATTGAGGCATGCTTTATAAGTGCTTCATTCAATGCTGCACCCATCCGTGTGAGCCATGACAACTTTCCGCTGAGTTTGACTGCCATCGTGCAGAAAAGGTCGTCCAAATGAAGTGGCAGTCGGTATAGAGGTGACGGTTGATAGAGATTGAATATGGAGTCTTTTATGACGATTGAGTTGAGACAATGTCGAGATTCTTGATCTGCTCTATAGTTGTAAAATCAAAAACTTACGCTCAGGCCGATGCATCATTAATATAGGAGTTTTTCGATGGAATAGATAAAGTCGATGACGTGGTTAAGTGGAGCTTCAGGATAAGCAGAACGTAGTAGTTGAAATCCTTACTGTATTCTTCAGTTCACAGTAATGCCGAACCAATCAGATTGATGAAGGAATAAACTGAATCTACTCAGCCCACCTAGGCTTTCTAATAACCAAGGTACCATCTAATACCACAAACATAGACATTAGGCGGTCCAGAGAAAATTTATGAAACAAACGGTTTTTCATGATTTCTCTTTTAGAAGTCACTGCAACGTCTCCAAATTTGCAACAATTATTAACTACGTGTTTTATGATCCACACAGAAAATTTCAACCTTCAGCTCAAATTTGGGTTTAGAAAATTTTAGATTTTTCGAAATTAATGAAGGCAGGTGAAAGATCACTTGATCCGTTTATTTGATTTAAATAATGTATAACCCAACAGAACAGTCAAGTAAACAGTCACTAACATTAAGCAAGTCTAGCACATTGCCCAGAACTCTCTAAAGTATTGGATACATAAACTGGATTTGAATGCGGGGTCAACTAATGAACTCACTCTCTAGTGGGGTCTCTCTCTGTAGTCCCGTCTTTTCGTGGCTCTTTCACTGAGATACGCATCTGTAGGTCCTCCCCTAGTGGTTCTGTAATGTTTGGCTCAGGAGTCTGGCCTGGCTGGTCTTTTAAAAGCACCCCATGCTGTCGAAACCACTCCTGCATGTGAGAGGCTCGATGCTTTGAGTCGCTGCTCTGCTGACAGACAAAGCCAGGTCGTGTGGCAGCCATGTCCACGGATACATAACATCTTCTAGAATCTAAGTCTATACTACGTATTCCTTAGTTCTCAAAGTCTAAGAAGAGCGCTCGCTGTGAAGTGGGTGGGAGTAGAATGTGATTGACTAAGCCTGAAAAGAAGGTTGATACAGGTTTCTAAGGTCATCTGGAATGACAAAAACATATTACTGATGCATGACAGCAAGGATACTAGTAATGTACGGCACCACGAGAGGGACACCAACACCTCCTGGAAGTGACGCGTATGCAACACAATGGTGTTTCATACAGTAGAAGGGACACAATCATGATATGACGGTAGATTTTTCGCTTCCCTTCCTCATCCTCCCTTCCTCTCTCCACTGCCCTCCAGCTGCCACTGCAGCACCATGTGGAATGAACGGAAGTGTGCTAAGCAGGTGTTTATATAGCCCTAAGAGTGTTATCACAACTATCCTGCTACAAAACATTGATATCTCAAATCCTGTAAGCTACCCGATTTGTTAGCGGTTTGTTTATCCCATGAGCTTCCTTCTCACTCACTTCATTTTGCGGACGGACACACATACATACATACACACACGCACACACACATACAGATACACAAACCGACACACAAAGTTAGCGCTTTATAAAATAGAAGGATATATACTATTCTTACTATCCATAATACCTTCGTATGAATGCTTCACTATACCAATCACAACTGCATGATGACAAGAACCAGTGCACACATCGGTAAATACCGATTGCCGAGGAATCGATATAGATATTAGGGAGATGTAGAAGGGCAAGCCAGACGCTATTTCTGTTTTCATTGAGATGTGTTCAGACGGTCTATTTTATCCCAATACCATTGTAATGGATTGAAGGACTGAGGGTCAGTGACGTGCCCACTTTCGGAGATTGGCGAAATTTCGGTGGTTGGCCAGAGATTTGCAATAAAGGAGTGAGTCGAACTTCCTGATTACGAATTTACCGACACTTGTTCGCTGCTAACTATGCCTAGCGCCATGCGCTAAAGGCGCGTATGAGTAGTCAGGAGCGCATAGCCCCAATTGGTTTCGAACACCCATTAATCGGACGACGTGCGCCACATGAGGATGCATTTTGTAATATTTATAACAAAGATGAAGATGGCCGTGTATACTGTGTGTCAGCAAAATGGAACAACGTATGTATCTCACAAGACCCGGACAAATAAATTTTGACCGACTCACAATAAACTTTCGGTAGCAGCACTTGTCTTAATTTACCAAACTTTATCTTTTTGATGGATGGCTTACCCATGGTTCACATGACCCGAGACCCCCTTTCCCGAGTATAGCGACTTCGCTTGCTCAGGGTTGTTGTTTCGCCCGATTCGAAGATGTCACCTGCAGCTTCCGTTCTTCCTTTCACCCCAGTTCTAGAAAAGGGTTACGAAGTTGTCGTCAACGAAAATCTCTTGTTCTGGAGGATCAGACACGAAAACATGCTTTAGTCCCGTTTCAAGCCACTGTTCGTGCCCATGGTAACGCCATGTTCGAAAAATATTAGTCCGTCGTCCAATACGTTTTAAGTTGCCCCTTGAACTTGGTACAGTAGCTAAACGTGTAGCACAATTTGAATACGTGTATCAGAAAATCTTTCTTAGCTTGCCAGCCTGGAACGGATCAAAAAAGGTAACTTTCAAGCAGTCGACCCGACTTCTTGTCTGCGAGTCTACACCACGCCGCTGCGCTTTTTTGCTTCATAATTCCTTTCAGAAAAGAATGTAGCAGACGAGGAAACCATGTTTGAGCTCAGCGTTTCGGGACGCGTATAGAGGTGTTCATCTCATTTCATTTGAAAGAACTGATCAAATGACCTTTCCTGGTAAAAAAAACCTCCATGAGCTGACTCCTAACTTGACTTAAGAAGCATGCTTGCAATTGTTCTGTACCTATTTATGAGTTACTCTAATACTGACTTCAATTATGTATGAATGGTGAAGTACCTGCGACAGTTAAGGTCATAAAGGATTCCGAAATTTTCTTTGGTTACTTTCTCAAATGATTATGGCAAAAGGCAGAGCTTGAGCTGTTCATCACATCTAGGTAAACTTCTGAAGCAGTCTGCTGATTTTTTCGGAGTTTCAGTCTGATCAGAAGCTTCGTTTGCAGGAGCCGTTTTATCTAAACGTAGCGGTACTGCAGAACTACGTCATCACCAAATCCGTATTCGTAGTCATATTTGCCATCTTGTTCGCCTTCGTAATCTCATAGTCCTCTTCTTCTTCGTCATCTTCATCGTGTCCTTCGTCTTCATCACTTCCTTCGCGTACTTCGAGTTCTCCTTCGGGGCCGGGTTTTTCATATGCTTGCTCCTCACTTTCGTTGAACGAGTATGTTATCACAGGGACAAAGCTGATTCGATGTGAGTGTATGTTGACGAAATATCGAGCAGAAATCTATAAAGATTCCACGTGAATACTGGTATAAATTCAATGTGTAGTTCACTGCGAAATACGTCGTAACTTTGTACCTGTATCCGGTGAGACGTTGATCAGAATGTGTCTTGATTTCAACACCAGCATCTCTGCATCCTTCGAAGGTCGACTCAGGCACTTGCAGAATTTTTACTTCTATCTTTTCTACCGATTGGCGCCTTATGACACAGCCTTTGAGTTTATTCATAAGCATAGTTTCCAGGAAATCACTCACCTTGATCCAATAGTTACATCTGGTATAGCCGTCTGACCCGGTCTCATTACCTAAACTGCCAATCAGCGTTTTCCACGTCCCATTTGCATTCAGTTCATTGCCGCAACCTGGTGGCTGAAATGATTCTTCAAGGTGTTTTTGGAATCAGTTAGGAGGTCAGTTCACCCTTTCATCGCAGAACTGTCCACCATATCCACTGGGGCAGATGCATTTGGAGCAATTACGTGGATGAGGGAATCCTCCATTAGAACAGTTCGTTTTTTCGTCTTTGCAGGCGTCTGTAACACTCTCTTCTTGATTAGCATTTGAGAACGCAAATCTCACTGAATATGTCGCTCACCAGTGCAATTGTAGTACATATTCATCATGAGCAGATCGTAGAATGAAATGAACTTAGATCCCTAGGTCTCCATGTAGTTAACATCTTTGGGCACAATAGTAATATTTCCCGCATTTTTGGCAAAGCTATATGCATAATGTCATTTTCGTCAGTTTTGCAAAAATCAGCATAGATGGCTCACGTTCTGGCTCCGTAGTGCATCACGCTACCGTAGTCATACGTTAAATTATAGTTGTTATTGGTTTCCTCGATTGCCTCACGAAATTTTTACGCCGGTCACGCTAAAGCCATCGGCAGTATTATACTCTTTCTATAGCATTTGCAAATCTTACCTGGATGTTACTTCTAAGGACAGTGATGAAATCGTTGCGGTCATGTCTCGCATGTGTATGCCAGAATCCTAGAGCATGGCCTATCTCGTGAGCTGCCATTCCGGTCTGCGAATGAGAGAACTAATTAGTGGTAGAGAAAACTCAGAAAGTTGTGCTTCTCCTTTCACTACGCTACTTATTGAAGGCACCATGGCTTGTACGGAATTTTTGAGAGAGCACCTTTTCACAGATGTCGCTGCCGAGTGAAAGCAACTGCCATCCACCCTGTCTGCCAACTTCTGCCCAACATCCATGTTCTTTGAATACAAGAAGAAGGTCCTCAGCTGAACTAATAACTTTCAAAAAGCAATGCCAAATGTCCATCTTTTACCTGTTTCATTCAAGTCTTCTTTGAAGTCAATACACGTGTTGTTCATCCATAATTCTGCTGCTTTCTTGAAGACAGCTTTTGCTTTCGATCCTAAACATACTGTGAAAAACTTCGCTTATTCTTCTTTATGTAGCGAGATCGCGACTAGCCTAAGCTACCGTCCAGTGAATAGGATACGCCATTTGGCCATCTCATGCCAGGGTAGGTTTTATCGTTGTAAGCTTGCCGCTTGGAACGACTACCACTAATATTCGCAATAACTTCGTCTTGTTGTTCTCTGAAATGGAAGAAAAAATAGAAGTGGATGTTTCTGCGAAGTCTGCTCAAGAGCAAGTTACACGGTGAATTGTTGTCGAATAGAGGAAATAAAGGAATGTGCCTACTATAAAGAGGCGCTGGGTCCTTCCCCCTCCCGCAATGGCTGGTGCCAAAATTGCCTGCCAATTGTAGCCATTAGAGGGGGTGAACCCAACTTCCCTATTTAGTAGGCAGGGAATTGCTATATCTCATAAAGAGCAGAAGCTTACGTTGATGACGTCACCTGAGATACAGCCAGTGCGAAAACAGCAGAAGCAGGAAACCATGATCAGTTTCAATTGTCATTTTTCTCAGGTTTTGTGCACTGCACCTCTTTACAGTCATTGTCATTGTTCTTTTTCAACCGTCAGTAAATTTGTCGTGCCATCTGCTTCTAAAAGAAGAGGAAACAAACTTGGAGAGGACCATATCTCCCTGGAACAACGCATCTGACATTCCACACTTCGTGTTGACTCCTTTCAATTGAGTTTTTCCTGCATGTATTAGTTTTCCTCCTGAGCGACTGAAATGTCCAAGGTCCTCTGGTTTCAATCGATGTCATCGATAGAAATTACTAACCTCCAGTCTCTCTAGAAACTCATCCTGTTTTTCATTCAAAGACATACTCGTATTCCGACGGTTCTTCGCAATCGTTCAAGTATTTCTGAAGTCGGGGCATACTGTCGAAGTCCTATACGTAGTTACATTAGCCGATGAGAATCACTATCATAACCTCCAATAGAGCTTTCTCACCTGACTGATGCGATCTAAAAGTCGTTCAGTCTTTTAATATCTCTTTTAGAAGTAAGATTCTTGAGGGCTTCTATCACGCGAGATTTCTCATCATCTTTCATGTTCAACAAGTCAGCGCTCACGAGTGCTGCCATAAGTGGGACAAGTAAAAGGACCGTCATGGTGCACTGAACAGCAGGGGATTCTTCAACAGAAGCGCAAGGAAGCAACAGAGAGAGAAGTTGTGAACGAGGGATTTGCGGGAATGAGTGGTTGCTTGATTCCTCTTCTATTATATACGTGCAACTATATCTAGCGCGGACTTCCGCGTTGACATAGCCAGTGTGTTTTCCATGTCGCAACATCAATGTAAACGAAAAATAGACGAGTTTACCACTCCAGCTACTGCTCTTGGACACGCATCAGAATATAGAGCGAACATCAGTCAAATATTTGTCAACTTGCAAAACGGAGGACAGTCTCTCTCAGAGGCAAAAAGATGGAAAAAGGAGCGTTGTCTTTCTGCTCCAGAATTTGAAAAATTAAAGCTTTCGATTTTATAGAACTAGCAGTAGTACTGCGTGCATTCCTAAAATCAGGCTGGTCTAGCAACCTTCTTTACTCTACTTACCCCCCAAAAAAGGGAAGTCATTAGTACGGAAGAAATGAAATGACGAAACGCGTCGAAAATGTGCGGCATTTTGTTAAACGATGCCGCTCTTGAGGATAAACAAAAAATGATAGATTCAACAATCTCACTGGTGATTTTTTGAGGGTATTTCCATGTGAAGCACCTTGGTGATCATCGTATTGCTGGTATGGATATGTTTGCTTTCAATCTGATTTTGCGGTCTATATTTGGGACTCGTAAAATGCCTTGCCCACATATCATTCAGCCGTGACATAAGCTCTTTTAGTAAAAAGAGCGCTGTTCTTCTTCGCCAGTAGAAAACGCCAACGATTCTGCGAAGGATGGTCGGAACTTGCTCAGTGAGTGCTGCGTATTTGTATATCAAATTGCTAGAGTCACTAGTTCTTTCAAAAAAAAAGAAAACATGAAATGCTCATGAGCTGTTGTGTGCTTAGGCTGTTATCTATTCATCCATCACCTATATGAAAACCTGCAGGAGTGATCATCAATGCTCTTAAAGGAAGCGATCACGCTGGCTTCCACGCTGGATTTGCTACCCTCGCGTTATCAATCGATAAGGTGTGAGGCAGTAATTGTTGGACGAGTGTAAGCCCATGGAAGATATGATACGATGAGATAAGAAGGTGCGGCTGCTTGATAAGAGGTGCACTCCAGAATGAAAACGGGACGATAACGATAACGGTATCATATCTAGCACGCTCTTATCGCACCCCTTTCCACATCGATAAGTCTTGGTTTTTGCTATCCG